TGGCTTGATCCCCATGACCCACCCACTCTATGGATTCACTGGCGACAGCATCGTCCCACGAGGACAGATCACTTTGCCTGTTGAGATGGGATCTGCCCTCCTAATGGCCCGCTACTTCATGAAATTCCTAGTGGTAGACCACAAATCAGTTTACCATAGAGTACTAAGCTGACCTGTCCTAAAGGAGCTTTAGGTAGTCACCTCTATCCACCACCTATGTATGAAGTTTCCAACCGAGCATGAGATTGCCACAGTTCGAGGTGACCAATTAGGCTAAAGGGCAAGTTACCTCAATTCTTTGCCAAAATTTGAGCCCCGCACTCTAAATGTAATTATAACTGATATTGCAGATGAGGCCAACTTGGATGTGGAGATGCTCAACATCCCTGAAAAAGGGCATAACTCCGAACAGGAGGAAGGCATCAACATGATCGAGGCCCTTAAAGAAGGGAGCCCTCTGGATGAATTGGGTCCTCGGATCATCGAATTCGGACCAAATGCAACCCCAATGGAAGAACTTGAAACTTTTCCTGCAAACCCTCAGGACCCCACGCAGGTCTTAAGGATAGGAAAAACATTACCTCTTCAAATCAAAGAAGGATTAATGGACTTTCTGCAAAGAAACTTGGACGTCTTTGCATGGAGACATGAATATATGGTTGGAATGGACCCAAGGGTCAGCTGTCACCACTTGAACATCAACCAACCTACTCACCGCATTGGTAGAAAAGATGAGCCCTCAATGTAGAAAGATATGAGGCGCTCAAAGAGGAAGTTGACAAATTGAGCCGCAACGGCTTCATCAGGGAGGCCATTTATCCGAAATGGATACCCAACCTTGTTCTTGTAAAGAAACTCAGTGGGGAAGTGGAGGGTATGCATTAACTTCACCAACTTGAACAAAGCTTGCCTAAAAGATAGCTTCCCCCTCCCAAGGATAGACCAACTTGTGGATTCTATGGCTGGACATGAACTCCTAAGCTTCATAGATGCCTACTCAGGATATAATCAACTTCCCATGTTCCAATTTGATGAGGAGGCCACATCGTTTATCACAGACAAATGATTGTACTGATACAAAGTGATGCCCTTCGGATTGAAAAATGTAGGTGCCACATATCTGAGGTTGGTCAACATGATGTTTGCTAACCTCATTGGCAAACCATGAAAGTCTACGTGGACGATATGCTGGTGAAAAGCCTCAAGGTAAAGGATCGTGTAAGTCACCTCGACAAGAATCCATTGAAGTACACCTTTGGGGTAGCATCGGGTGAATTTTGAGGCTACATTGTTAATCAAAAAGGGATTGAAGCAAACCTTGAAAAGATAAAGTTCTTGCTAGATCACCTCAGAATCCAAAAGAGGTGTAAAGCCTCAACGGATGAATTGTTGTACTCAATCGCTTCATCTCCAAGGCCACCAATAAAAGTCTACCCTTCTTCGAAATTTTGAAGCAGGAGAAAAAGTTACAATGAACGGAGAAATGTGAGACAACCTTCCAAGCGCTAAAGAAGCACTTGGGAGAGGTTTTTTTTTTTTTTTTTTTTTTTGTTTTTAATAACCTCCCTCCTTCTTTTAACTTTTATGATTTCACTTGATTTGTAGCGCCCCGAAAATTTTATAGAATATACTTAATTGTTTTACATACATACATACATATTAAACTACACACAATTTCATTTAAGTTTGAAGTTAATTATGACTAATGCGACAGGTGGTCCAACGACAACACGTACCTCATTTGTCTTTAGCAATTGTTGCAATTAAATGTAATGCATGCAAGTCAATTTTTTTTAATTGCGTTGGTACTAATATTATTTTTCAATTGGCATCTAAATTAAATTATTATGTTGACTTTAGTGAATAAAAGGATTCCTTTTTTATATATGAAGAGAATTGGTCAATTGTCAAGTAATACTTTTTGTAATTATTTCTTTTAATTTATTTATGATTAACCATAATTCTTTTAGTAATTTGGGATTGGATTACATATTTAATATAATGTTTAGGGAAATTAGCCGTGTTGATGTCCACCTTATTTGGAAGGTCATTCATATGTATTTGGTAAGAGAAAATCTTGCCTTAGTGCTAGAATTTTATTCTACTCTACTATAATAATTACATGGTTAATCAAATAATTGTAGAAAAATTTGGGGATCATTACCTATAATTATAAATTTAACAAATTTTTTTTATATTTAAAATTTTTACATTTACGACCAGCTATGTATTGGACATAAGTCATGCCCTTGAATGCCTCATTTATATTAAGCAAATCTTGCATAAATTGCTAGATTAGTGATAAAGCATGATTTTTGGGCTTTGATAAGCTACTTGGACCAATGAGATGGAAATCTAGCCATCTAGATTTGCACAATTCTATCCCTAAGATTGATACTCTAAAAGAAGAAGTTGGGATATTATTTGTACACTCTTGGGAAAGGAAGAAAATCACCCCTTACTACTCTCGAAAGACGGAAACACGATAAATCCCATAGAAATTCTTTATTAGACTGCTTCATCTTGTATGTGCTTGGAACTTTGCATATTGAGGTATTATGACTTTTATCTTTAAAATTATTTTATGTTTTCAATCCCCATTATAGTGCATTAAGCAAAGGAAGTCTGGGATTTAATCTTTCTATAATGATCTATGTTAGATAATTACACAAACTTCGATAGATTATTGTGCATACATATGTATTCTCATGATTTATTTAAACCTCATTAACACACACTAAGTATTTGGATAAAGATTCACTTTTTGCTATTTGGGCCTTTTGTTTATCAATTGTGTCTTCCGGTTAATTGAGATTTGACAAATTATTTTCACAAATATAAATGCATGGCAATCTTACATGCATTAAATCATTAATCCTGTTTGCTTTTGGTCAATTGAGATTTGACAAATTATTTCTACAAATTTAAATGCATGGTAGTCTTACATGCATTAAATCTTTAAACCTGTTTGTTTTTCATCAAAACAGGTTTTAATAAAATCCAGGACTTCAATTTTAAGCTCCTTTCTTGCCTACTTTGATTTTCTACCTCTTACCTTCGAATTTATCCTCCATTAATTCAGATACTAAGAAGCTAGTATTTTTCTACCAATGACAATTTAAAAACTATAACGCCTATATTGAGTTAGTACCTATGCAAACCGAATGCTTTTCAACAGTAGGGCCGACCTTCAATTCTTCACTGATTTTAGGACTTGAATATTAAGTACTATTTTATATATAATTAGTTAATTTTCTTTTGCGTCCTTATTAATTCTAAATAGCATTAAATGTTAGGAATATTAACTTAGTAGAATAGTGGTATGATTAGGGATGAGAATTACTTAAGTTTCTAAACAAATGGCAATGAATTAGGATTTTGGCATGTTGAAGCTGCCCCTAGATCAACTTTAAATCTGCAAGATACGACAATTGTGAAAAGGTTTTGGGAACGTAAATTCCTTACTTTTCTATTATCAATCAAGGTAGGATATTATGTGCAAGTTGTTCCGTCCTTTCAATATTGTAATTTTTTGACATGATTTATCTCATGAAATGCTAATTGACCTGCGGGTCCCAATGAAATGAAATGTGAGATCATCTTCAGGTCTTCTCAAATGTGTTAGAACTTTCGATTGATCACCGATTACTCTTGATGAAATGATGGTATGGAATGTAATAAATTCATGTTTCAAAAGTTATCGTATTATTTGAACGCAGATATCCTATTGAGTAAATTTACTCATTCCTTCAAATTTTAACATTTTAAGTCAGTACAATTGACGTTGATGGTGGCTGGGCGGTGCGTGGGCTGCCAAGTAAAAGTTTTTAAGAAAACGATCACAAATAAATTTGTTAAGAGTATTTAGTATGTTTTCTTTATTTCCATTTTATGTTCTAAACTTTATGACACTACGTTTATTTAGTATTTAAGATTTCAAATAAGTTATAGGTTTTAAATTCTCAATAAAATACTTCCGCATCAATTAGTTTATGAAATGATATTGGTAACACTCCAAAATTTAAGCCAATAAAATTTGGGGCGTTATATGAGCACTTATTAACTTTTGTCATCTCTTTGCTTCTTTTCTTCACAATTAAACCTCCAACACCTACTACACACTTGGAAGTGAAAATGTGGGCAAACACATGTACAGGTTTCACTCCAATGTAGAGGGAAAAGGATAGCACGGGTGGATGAAGAAAACTGTTATACATGTGTGTGTATTGGCTCAAAATGGCTACTAGGGGTTATAATCATGAAAGAAAATTGGCTTGAAAGGTTAAAATTTAATCCTAAATTGACTATCATCATTTTCCAAGTAATCAACCACCATACGACAAACCATGTAACGTTATTCTCAAAAAGTTCCCAATTCACAAAACCAATGAATGCTTATTACAATTTTTAATATATATATATATCTCTCAATCCTTACCAATTCTCCCACAAAAAAACTTTAGCATGAGACTCCTCTAGCTACATGTGTTAAACCACTATCTTACCACAACGCTTGTGTGCACAAAATGATTCAACAAGCGTCTCAACATCTAGACTCACATAAACAATATCAACTCCTAGTGGCATATTTTGTCATTCAAGAAAATGAACATCTAGCAAATAGAGATTTAAGGAAAAATTTAGACCAAAATTCCATGTAAATCTTACAATTCACAACAAAATTTAAGTTAAACTCTCCCCTAACTAAACATGCATTGTCCTCAATGTAAAAATATGTCTGCCAAATAAAGGCAAGGAAAGATGTCACTTGAGTGCTGAAGTGAATCAATGAGTTGAAGTATAAGAAATCTGAAAGTTTTCAATGGAAAAGAAAACGCAGAAAATGAAAATAAATTAGAATGCAGTGAATAATGTATGTGATGCAAATAAAGCTAACAAATGCAGAAATAAGATAAAAGAAGGGAAAAGAACTCCCATTGGGTTGCCTCCCAAGTAGCGTCTTTGTTTATTGTTGTTGGCTCGATTCAATGTTTGTTTCTTTAGCCCGCATCTAGCAAGGGCGTTGTCAACACTCTTTGCATTGCACCAAGCTCAGTAGAAATAATCGTCGGTGATGTTTCACAATCTTGCAAATTGTCAAAGGCAGCACAAATATTAGCATATTCCACATCATCATACCCTGCTACAATTTTAGAATTTAAACAAAATGAGTTTAAAGGGTTGGGGTCAATAATTGCAGGTGCTTTTTCCTGAACGAGTGCATCAATCATGAATGTTTGATGACACTCGTCATCCTCCTCAGGTTGCTTCATGATGCAAAAGATGTTGACGTCCAGGGTCATTTTCCTAAATGATAGTTTCATTTGACCATTCCTATAATTGATAAGAGCATTAGCCGTGGTAAGAAAAGGTCTACCAAGAATTATGGAAATTTTGGAGTTAACATTCACATCAACTTTTAGGTTCAAAATCAAGAAGTCAATAGGGTAGTAAAATTTGTCAACTTGTACCAACATATCCTCAACTACTCCCTTAAGCCGAATAGTGGATCGATTAGCCAATTATAAACTTACTGATGTGGGTTTTATCTCTCCTAACCCTAACGACAAGTAAATATCATACGGCATGATGTTGATATTAGCCCCTAGATCAAGAAGGGCTTGTGAAATCTCATGGTTCCCGATGATGCAAGAGACAGTAAGACAACCAGGGTCTTTATACTTTGGTAGAATCTTTTGCCCAATTACAACACTCACATGTTCAGTTAAGAAAGCAGTTTTTTTGATATGGTGTTTCTTCTTCACAGTGTACAAGTCTTTTAAGACTTTAGCATATATGGGAACTTGGGAGATCACATGTAAAAGAGGTAAATTGATTTTTACTTGTTTTAGATGCTCTAGGATTTCATTATGTTGGCCGACAGATTTTGAGGTAGACTTGAGAGCTTGAGGGAAAGGCACTCTAGATGGATTTTTCACTACCTCCTCGCTAGGGGTGCTCTCTTCTGAATTGCTAGGGACTTTTTCATTTTCCTTAGGTTTAGGAATTGGTTCTATGACCTTACCAGACTGAGTGGTTATGACATTTACTTCTCTGAGATTACTTTCTCCTGACCCTAAAGTTTGTGCCATGTGTTGCTCCCTAGGGTTCGGTTGAGCCTGCGTTGGGAATTTTCCCCACTCCCCTATAGCTAAGGCATTAGTTAGTTTGAACATATGAGATTTTATTTCCTTGTTTTCTTCAACAATTTGGATGATCATAGTCTCAAACTTTTGGTTAGTCTTACTCTGTGCCTTTATAAATGCATGTAGAGTGTCTTCTAAAGAGTTCCTAGAGTACGTGGGCTGATATGGAGGTACAATGTGAGTTTTATTTGGATGGCCTTCAGATTTCCAGCTAAGATTGGGGTGATTCAGCCATCCAGGATTGTATGTTTCAGAAAAGGGAGAATAAATTTTTGGTATGTGCCTAAGGCATTGCAGTGTTCCTCATAAACTTTCCTCATCTTAACATAGGCAACGCACCATTGAGCTGGATGATCAGTTCTACCACAAACAAAATAAGGTCCTAAAAATTCAACATGGGATGCATTCTGTATAGGCTTTGAGTCCCTAGCATGTAAGATTTTGAGTTCTTTAGTGAGGGCATCTACCTTGGCTCCAAGGTCATCCTCCTCCCTAAGATGATAAATGCCTATGCTAGTGGTGTTTTCGATAGGTCGTGACCTATTAGTACTCTCAGTGGCAATAGGTCCATTCCAGGTATGGGCTTTCTTGGCTAAGTTATCTAAATACTCTAGAGCCTCATCTAGATCTTTTTGTAGAAATTCACCATTACACATCATTTCCACAAATTGACATTCCCTAGGTAATAATCCCTCATAAAAGTAACTCACAACACTCCAACTTTCATAACTGTAGTAGGGACAAAGGGCTTGCAATTCTTTGTATCTTTCCCATACTTGATATAGAGTTTCGTTGTCCTTTTGGACAAAAGAAGAAATTTGTTTATTAAAGCAGTTGTTTTATGATGGGGAAAGTATTTGTCAAAGAATACTTGGGTTATTTCAGCCTAGGTCTCAATCGAACGTGGTCACAATGAATACAACCAGCTTTTTGCTTGTTTCTTGAGTGAAAATGGAAAATATTTTAGCCTGACTGTATCCAATGTACCATGTTAACTGTGGAAAGTTGCCACCACCTCCTCAAACTCCCTAATATGCACGTATGGATTTTCGCTTTGAAGATCATGAAAATTGGGAAGAAGTTGAATCATTTCCGATTTTAGGTCTATACGTGGCATGTTAGATTGAAACATGATGCATGACAGTGTAGATGTGCATGTGGAGTGAAGGTAATCATGTAAGGTCCTATAGGACGCATCACCATGCTCACTATCATATATTGTGTTATGTGACATGGTGTTCATGGCAATAGATTCAATATCAAAGAGAGGGTTAGGAAAAGATTCAAACACTAGTTGAGGCCTCGCGATAAATTGCCCTCGTTCGTCTAGAAGTCTGATCATAAAACAAAAAAAGAAAAAACTAAATGAGAAATAACAAAATAATTAAGAAAATAAACTAAACTAACTAAAAGAATGTAAAAAGGGACGAAGTCACCCTTTTACTCGAGAATCCTTCAAATATTTGTACCGTCTCCCCAGCAACGACGTCAAAATTTGATTAAACCCAAAGTATAACGCGGTGATTGTAGTATAGCCTTGGGGTGTCAATTCCACAGGAAGATGGGAAATGCTCAAAGGATCAGAAGCTTAGCAGTTTCGGGAATTATGTGAAAATAGTTTATCAATTTGGAATGAAATTTAAATATCAATATGTGAAATTAGTGAAGCATTGAAATTCCCTCAATTGGATTGGATCGGATCGGTCAACATCAACAATTCATGTATTATTACTCAATTAGAGGTTTTCATCCCAACTCTCTAATCGGAAGATTTAACAGGAAAGATCACTTTAGTTCCAATTGTAATTCTAAGATTTAGACTTTCAAACACATTCCCACAATTGTTATTGGAGTAAGACAAAAAATGACCATATACTTCAAGCATAAGATCATAAATAACCCACCAATAACATAAATAAAATTGCATCTCAATAAATATTTCAATCAAATAATAGAAAAAAATTGAATCTATGAAAGATCTAATAAAAATTAGACCAATTTCAAAATCAATTCATAAGGAAAAAGTCTAAAATCTAGAATTGTTTTGACAACAAAATACCAAATTACATGAGCAATTGATGTAATTTCCCCAAATCCAATAAGTTCCTTCCAAGCTTCACCAAGGGTTTTAGTTCTTTATGAAACTTTTGAGCCAAAAACCAAAAAAAATTGATGTGAGGATGAAGAGCGGCATTCTCTGTCCAGTCTAGGGCTTAAAACCGTGTGCCAAGTTGTTTTCAAAGAACCGAATAAGGAAACTAAATTTTCGGCTAGAATATTCTGTGCGACTACTTTTAGTATTTTGACCATAACGTTTTCTCTTGATATCTAATTAAGACAATTTAAAGTACGTTGGAAAGCTAACATAAAGGGATACAATTTTGCAAGAAATAGCTTTTCCCAAATTCTGACTTTTACTGGGTCAAAAGTGGACTTCAATCTACGACTGAAAATTTGGAAAATCTTTATGCGGTTGGAATTTGATTTGTGAATATGTTATGGTCATATTTAACTTCTTTTGACTTCTAATTGCACCCAATGGACTCCTAACTCTCTCGAATCATCATTCCATCACCTATCTCATCTTTAAATTATTTGCAACTTGGTTCCTAAACTTTCACTTTCTTCCATTTTGGTCATTTTTCGCTCTTTTTCTTCTAAATTTCACATTTTTTTATTACCGAAATGCAACATGAATCAAAGCATAAGTATAATGAGTGCATTTTGGTATCAAATAATCACACCAATGCAATAATTACGTGGAGAAAATATTATTTTTTACACTCTTATCACACCCCTACTGTCGAAGCCTAACCCACGCGAGCCATTTATGCTATACTTGGCGGTTTCAGAGGAAGCAGTCAGAGCGATCCTCATTAGGAAAGAAGAGACACACCAACTGCCAATATACATCAACAAAGCCTTACTGCCAACAGAGGTTTGCTACCCAGACATAGAGAAGCTTGCTCTCTCCATTGTTACTGCATCAAGGAAACTAGGGCCATACTTTTAGGCTCACTTCGTTGAAGTTTTAACCAATTTTCCATTGAAACAAGTGCTACAGAAGACAGATGCTTCGGGTCGCTTACTCCAGTAGGCAATTGAGCTCAGCAAGTTCGACATTCTTTTCAAACCCCGAAGTGATATCAAGGGACAAGCCCTCGCAGACTTTGTTGCAGAGTTTACCAAAGCCCCAAAAATAGCGGCAACCATAGAACTAGCAGAGCCTCCTACCTGGAACCTCTTTGTGGATGGCTCGTCAGGAGAAATCGGCTTTGGGACTGAAGTCATTCTAGAAAATCCAGAAGGCCATAAGCGATATTGTGCAATTAGGTTTGGCTTCAAAGCCTCGAACATTACCGCAGAATATGAGGCCCTCTTAGCAGGCCTTAGACTGACCAAAGAAATGCAAGTCAGAAGACTCCTAGCCAGTGGTGATTCATGGCTAGTGGTGAGGCAGGTCAATGGCAAGCCAAAGACAGTGACATGGCCGTTTATTTGAAACTAGTTCTGAGCCTCGTTCCCCACTTCGAGAACTTTGAACTAGTTCAGGTTCCACACCTTGAGAACACACATGCAAATGCCCTGTCCAAATTGGCCAGCAACAAAGACTCTGAGCTATTAAAGATTGTTCCAATTAAGCACCTACCGAAGCCCTCTATCGTCGGAGACGAAGATGTGATGTAGATTGAAGGTACCCAGCTTGGATGTAACCCATTATAGCCTATCTCGAAGATTAATCAGTTACAACCTTGAAGAACGAGACTAAGAAGTTGAGAAGAATGGCTGCTCACTTCATCCTCCAGGATGACGTGCTACATAAAAGGTGCTTCGCATCGTCAATGCGTCGGAGGAGAAGAAACAGTGTACATACTAAGGGAGATCCATGAGAGAGAATGTGGAAACCACTCTAGAGGAACAGCTCTGGCACACATGGTACTTCGACAAGGCTATTTCTGGCTGACCCTGAAAAGGGATTCGTGCCAGTTTGTTCGAAAATGTGACAAGTGTCAGCAGTTCTCCAATGTCCAGAGACAACCTTTTCAGAGCCTCTTCATGGTCACCAGTCCCTGGCTATTTGCCAAGTGGGGGGATATATTTCATTGCCCCCCTCCTGAAAGGGAGAGGAAGTGTAACCTTTGTCATTCTCGCTATTGATTACTTCACCAAGTGAGTCAAAGCTGAACCTCTAGCTAGAATCACTAAGGCAAATACTACAAAATTCGTCTGGAAGCACATCATTTGCAGGTTCGAAATTTTCCACTTTCTTGTGTTTGACAACGGAAGGCAGTTCGACAATAGGAAGATGTGGGATCTATGCGACGAACTGGGCATAAGGAAGGATTTCTCAACATCCCACCACCTCCAAGCAAATGGACAGGTTGAGACAGTAAATAAGACGATCAAACACATCTTGAAAATGAAGCTTGATGCCTCAAAAAAAGCATGGGTCTATGAGCTTTCCCATGTCCTCTAGGCCATCTACACAACTACCCGAACTACAACAGGAGAGACCCCTTTTCCATGACCTACAGAGTCGAAACCATGAGCCCAATCGAGGTAGGGATCCCCTCGCATCATCGCATACACTTCAATGAGATCAGCAATGATGAAGCACGAGTGTGCGAACCCATCTCCTAGAAGAAATGAGGGATTCCTCACAGGTCAACCTGGCCACATATCAGAAAAAGATAACCCGCTACTACAATTCGAAGGTCAAGAACCGAACTCTATGTTTGGGTAACCTGGTACTTAGAAGGGCCTTCTCAGCATCAAAACTAGCATGTTTCAGAGTGCTTGGGCTGAACTAGGAAGGCCGTATTGCATCGTCAAAGAATCTCGACCTGAAACTTATTAGATTGAATATATGGCAGGAAAGATGATGCATCATTAGTGGAACATGAACACTTGAGGAAGTACTATCAATAAAATGTATGCTTCGAACTGGCCATGTTCTTATATGGTCCACTACAACTTATTCCTATCTGACTAAGTGCTGAAATTGCCTTAGCTTATGATAATGTTAAGTTCAACTTACTTATGAAACCTTAGTTCGTCATTATGTTCTACGGATTAATCGTTTTGTGCTTCTACTAGTTATTGTTGGTAAGTAATGCTTGATTTTTACTTAAGCACCTATCCAATCACAATATTACAAACAGTTTAATGTAAATGGAAGAGGTCACAACACTTGTCAAAAAATTTCATTTCATTGATATCAAAATGATTACCAAGAGAGGGCCGAAGCCATTACATTAAAGCCCTAATCTACTGGCACTATGGCCACATCCTTCACATCTGTCCTGACCTCCTGGGGAGCCTCCGCAGCCTCCTCAACAGTTGCAACATTTGGCTGATCTCCAGTATGCCCACCGAACTCTGCTTCTAGTGCAGATATGTCCAAAGTTGGGTGGACCTCCCTTAGGCGTCCTAGCATTTCTTGGGCATTCCATGAGGTCCAGAAGTTGGCAAAGGTGTCATACAACAGGTACTCCTCAAAATGATCAATGAAGTGTTGCACAGCCGTCTCCCACGCTACCTTCACTTCGGCCTTCAAAGAGTTGATCTCCTCAGCTTTGGCCTTCGCCCGCTGCCTTAGCTCGGTCTTTTCTTAGTTCAAGGCCTCCAGAGCCTCCGCATCCAAACGGTTGTATTCATT